GTGGGAGAGGAGCACCCCTCACCAGGCTCCTGCCCCATGAGCCGCCCCACATGGGAGCAAAGCCTGTCTGAGAGGCCTGGTGGGCTTCCTGGAGGTGCCACAGGGGCTGAGAGAGCTGAGGGAGTGCAGTGCAGCGTGGATGACTGGGCCGGGTCAAGGAAGCCCCTGTGCCAGCCACCACCCCTCCGCCTCCACCACTCCACCCTGAAGTTGCCCCAGCCCACACTCTCTCATGGGCCATGTGCTGCCCCAACACTGGGGTTACCCAGGAGACGTTGCCACAGGAAACAGACCCACCTGGAGTGTGGCCCGAGCAGCCCTCGAGAGCAGCCCACCCCTGGGAGTCTGTTTCTCAGTGAGGCTCGTGGGGCAGGGCCCAGGCAGGGTGAGTTTGGGCAGATCTACTCACACGTTGGACCCGCCGGGCCGCTTTGCTAGGCACAGGGCAGATGGGGCCAGGGGTGAAGCAGCCCAGCCCGCAGCAGTTGGGGGAGCTGCAGATGGTGAGGGGATGCCACCCACAAGGGACTCTGAGGCCCCTGGACCGAGTGCCAAGGGCAGGAGGGGAGAGAACAGGCGGCATGCAGCGAGACAAGCACAGGGCGAGGGGCACTCACGTGAGAGCAGGCCAGGAGGGCTGCACCTGCCAGCCACGGCCTCCACACCTGAGGTCTCCACGGTCCCCTGCACCGCCTCAGCCTGGGCACCGCTCACCCTCACCCCAGCTCTGGGGTCTGGGAGCCCCAGGCCCTGCTCTCAAAGGGCAATTGTGCCCACGCGGGAAGCAGGTGCGGTGCCACGTGTCCCTCCAGCTGGGAGGACACAGCAGGACATTATCTGCACTTGGCTCACTCCCGGTGCCTTGACAGCTGAGCTGCTGTCGGCTCTTCCCCAGGAGCAGGCCCAGCTCACCCAGCCTCCGACAGACCAGAGACAGAGGCTCCAAAGACCTCTGTGCATGCACGTGATTGACAGAGGAGAAACGGGCCACTCACTCAGGCACCCTTGTCCGGTCATGGAGCCTCTAAGCCCCAGGAAGATGCCTCAGTCCGAGACAGGAAGCATAGCCCTGGAGCCAGCCTGCCCAGTGAGGCCAGGTCAGCAGGTGCCAGGGATCTGGTCTGACCAGGGCACTTAGTCCCAACCCTCCCTGGCAGGGACTTCCTCAGGGTCACCAAGTCACAGATGTTGGAACCAAGGATCAGGAGCAGGTGGGACTCGGAGCCTCATGTCCTGGCAGCTGGACCCTACACAGGCCACGGGTCCTCCACGGCTCTACAGGTACTGGCCACAGACTCCCCACAGCCTGTCCTGCATGGGCCCTGTGTGGGGACCAAGGCTGGCTGAGACCCAGGCATATCTTCTGTCGTCTGGGAGCATGCGTAGGCAGGCTCGGCTGACAACAGCACACCACCCCGTGCCCCGCACAGCGCAGAAGCCCTCCACACAGCGGTGGGCACAGAGGCCCTGGGCAGCTCCACCCCACGTCTCCAGTCTGCACCCTGGCCAGGGCATAGGCAGAACTACGGACACTTCCACCCGGTGGGTGTCACCCATGGGCCCTTCTGTTTGATCATGGGACTAGGGGCCTGCTCTGGACCCCCTTGCATGGCCTGCGCCCACCCTCCCTCCAAATCTGCCTAGAACCCTCAGTGTCACGCCTGCCATGTGGGCCAGGAGACCATCCCACTAAGGGGACCCATGGAGAGACTGGCTAACGGGGGTCCCGCGGGAT